AGCCGAAGCGACGAATGCCGACAGAATATTCTTGTTATTTTGTGAAGAACACCTAATGCCCTGAAAAAGTTTACCTAGAGACACATTTCAAAGGAAGAAGAAATATTCAGTTCTCCGAACTTAACATGCTCAGCTTCAGAGAAGTCCAGCTTATTAATGAAATTGTTGGTAGTAACCTGGGCAAATGAAACTGGAATGATATCACATGACAAATGTATGTGCTTTCAGGTAACTCTGTGTGATAAGAATGGTTCAGGCTTTCCACTTGAGCAAGAGTGATTACTTGGAAGCAAGACTGGGGAAGGGGAAGGCTGTAGGAGCATGCCAATGTCAAAGTAATTGACCACAAACATAAAAAGCTACCACGGGAAAGGGCTTTTTCTTTGTGCAGGGAAATACTGATCATTTAGTTAGCAGGTAGAATTCCTGTGGATTCTCAGTCGCTTGCTCACTGAAAATGGCAACAACACATCAGTCTAAGATGCACTACAACAATTCTTCCATTTTTCCTTTCACAATCATCAACAACAGATAAAAGAGAATGTTTGAAACAATATACTATCTAATGGTAACAGCTTCCCCCGTCTCTGGGTGAAATCTGCATGCAGGTGAGGGAGTGCTTGGGTGAGGGAGGAAGGACAGCATGGGAAACAACCCTAACTCACAATGTGACGCTGTACTTCCCTCAAGCCAATGGTGCTACACCAGTCTGCCCACCTGAAGTTCTCTCGCCGCCTGTTTTAAGCAGCCCTAACCTATCACCATCACATACAACATTTCCAAATGACAGTGACTTTGGAAACTGCCCGGACTACAGAGGGTGCTTTACTGGACAAGGTACATTACAAGAAACGAAGCACACACCTCTTTTCAAATGCTGTGGTTTATTACATTTTTTGCTCAAGACACCCACCCAGTATTTACCATTCTAATTTCCTGACCACAGAGGTTTAATTTAAAAATGCAAAAAGTTATTTTTCCTACCATGTACACCCAAACTTAAAATCCTAAAGTCAAACTGCTTTTTCCTCAGTCATGTATGAGAACCCCAGGCAAGGATTTTGCAGGCTAGATTACGCTCTTCATTACACCTTTACAACCGTGATGAAATACCGCTTCCTTTACACTCTATCACAGCCCAGCACTTGCGTGGGTGTCTGAACTCTGTATGAAGCAGAATGCTTCACTACGCTTTCATAGAGAAGATGTAAACTGCACATCAACACTCAGCTACAATGGAGCTGACAAAAGGCATGCTACGGCCAGAAAAGCAATCCCCGTGAAAAAGTTTAATATCAGTTTAGCTTAGCTTATCCCTTTCCATATCCTACTGTATTCTTCCCCCTCCTCCCTCTTCCATCTCCTCTCTCTCTGTTGAAAATTCCTTAACTCACATTCTTTGGTAGGTCTCATCTACCTACCAACATGCAGTTTACGTAAGCATTAATACCGATGTCCATGCCAAGCAGAGCAGTGCATTTTGCGATTTCCCCGTTTACTCACAGATCATGAATTTCCAGTCTGTAATGAATAGCATTAATCCAAAGCTTTTTATTTTATTTTCACTTCCCCAGCTGTAACCTAAAGATTTCCGAGCATTTTTCTTGAGCTGTTCTCCCAAGATGGACAGCCATCACACACTTCTCCCTTCTAACCAATGAGGCAGAACATGGAAAAAACCACACAGTGCTCAGAGAGGGACTAAAACCCAGTCCTACACACTCCTCCAGCCCTCCCCTCACAGTTTGAAACCTTTTGTTCTAATCATTTGATCCCGAGTCCATCAGGGAAGATTTTAGGCAAATTTCAGCCTCACACATTGACTTAGCAGCAGACGTATCACAGACCTGTAAGTCCCCTAGTTCACAAGGATCAAACACTCACTGCTCTTGCAAGTACAGCCTGCTGCAAAAGCAAGCTGGTGCACTGAGGCGAACTCTGAATTTGCAGAAACCTGCTGTCCAAGATGTGAGGGTAAAGCACTGCGCTCAGCACAAAAGCTTATACAGGTAGGCAGGCAGGCGAAGCGTTAAATGCCAAATAGTCAGCTAAAGGCAGAACTTTCAGCCCTGAGACCTAAGAAATGTGAGTTTACATTTATGTTGCTCACTGGAAATGCAGTGGCTACACTGGGAATAAATTAATGTATGCAGGAATTTGTCCAAACACCCATTAAGGAGGGCACTCCACTAGCGAAGCACAGAAGTAGTTGGGGCATAATTCAATGCTTCGGTGGGTGATGAAAGAAACAGATGTCCCCATCTGCGGCTTCCCGCTACAAAGGTAAAGTTGTATCATGCAAAAATCACACAGAGAAACTCTCTCTAGAAAGTCTGTGGGTGCCAGCCACGTGGGAATCACGGGAGGTTAATCTCTACTGCTCTGTATCTCACTGAGGAAAAGAAGTCACAGATTTTTTCAGGAAGTTTTATCCTGGTTTCTAGTTGCTATAATCCCCAGCAACGTACCATCTATTTCTTGAGCTGGTGCCATGAAACTGCACCCTACGCAGGACTCGGGCAGTACCGCACCTCCCGTGTTTACTTTAAGCATCAATACAGTGCTGGGCAGAGCGCAACATCTGAGCTTGTAAGGTGCTTCACAACTGAAGCCTCAAAGAAAGCAATGGAGCCAGAATCACTTCATGCCCAACGGGGGCACTAATGGGTTGGATCCTACAATGCTCTAACACACACAAACTCATCAAAGAGATTTAATTTACCTTGACCTTGTAGTACTCCTTGACTTCAGGCTGAATGGAATCAAAATCACCACTGATGTAATCAGGCAAGAAGCTGAAAGGAAAGCAATGAGCAATGAAATGAAAAATTAATCCATCTTACTACATTTAATATTTGTTTTCTCAAGAGCACTAAGGGGTACAAGCATTAATCTCTCAAGGGAAAAGGAGTTAGGTAAAGGCATGTTAAAACAAGAGTTGATATGAGGTGATACAAAATAAGGTATCGAACTGTAAAACTGGTAAACCTAGGGTCCCTTTTTTGCTGAGGGAGCTACACATCACTTAGATGCTTACACATCTCCCTGGGTTAGTAACGCAAATTATATCTGCATGGTTCTAGAAAGACAACTCTCAAATATCTTTCAAATGTATCATTCAGTCAGCAAAGTATCTGAAAAAGCATATCTGAGTGCTGTACGTCAAGCCGCAGAGGATACTGTTTGTCAGAAGATGATGATGATGATAATGATGATGATGCTCGGACAGCTGGTATGCCACAAATGTTCCAAAGATTTGCATTTTAGTTGTTACTGATGTCATCTCATTTCTGCTTTTCTCCTTGATTATTAAAAATAATCCCCCCAAAATATGGAAGCCAAATGCTCAGTGATTTTTAAGTCATGACTTGGATGTACAAAATGTGTATGAACTTGATTTCAAATCCTAACTGTCCTTTGTACAATAATATTGCTGCAAAGCACATAGAAATAATGTTGTGGTATTTACCTCAACTTGCTTCTTGTCGTTTTTTAATTTCAGAATGCTTCAAAATATTTGCTGTATAAATTCTTATCAAATTCATAACAAAACTTCAACTGGTACAGAAAGAACAGTTTAAGAATATTTTCTTGGGAAAAAAAAAAAATGCATAGAAAAACAGCTTTCCATCTTGCACAATTCCTGGAGTTTTAAGCAGCAGCTAAGAAGACAGGTGAAAGTGTTGCCACTGCTTCAACAGACAAGGCTGAACTGAGTTTTGAAATTAAAGCTGTGATTTCAGTGTTTTCTAACAATTTAAATACATAGCTCCTTTTCTCCAAGGTTACTATGCTTTACAAGGGGTATGAAAGTTCATCAGCAGATTAGTTTACAGCTCAAGCTGAGTTACGAGGAATGGGGCAAAGCATATTGGAACATATTTTTCTTCCACATGATTTTAGAAGAATGCTGCAGGGTCTGCAAACTTCCCACATCAGTAAAACTTAGAAAAAATCTCATGTTCTGGCCCTGTTCAAAGATTTCAAGAGAGACACAGGGTCACTAGCCACCGTGAAAACTGAAAGCTGCTTCAGCAGAAGCTGGTAAGTACAACTGTTTTGAGTTAGTCCACGTGCCACTATAGCATCTCAAATTTACTATTCTCTGCTGTTACTAAGGCTGTTATAAAAGGATATGTTCTAAAAATAATCCCTCCAAAAGTGAAGCTCCCACACTCGCGACGGGGGGAAGGGCAGTCCCTTCTGCATAGGGTTTTATCGAGGACACAGAAACTAACTAGAAGAAATGCAAATGCTTCAGTGCTCTGTCTTACATGCCCAAGTCAGTACAGTTCAAAACCAGCAAAAACTAAACAGAAAATTAGATTTGCTTCTTCATTGTGAGACTGACCTTTTCAACATACAAAAAACACCATGTTTTCAAAACTTAAATTTTAAATTGCTGCCTTTTTACCTTTCCAGAAGTTTCCCAATGAAATATTTACTGAATACAACGAACTTAAAAAACTACAGGTATTCTCTTTCATTTTTTTATTTTCCTTTCTTTTCTTCCTGATTGAAACAAAACCATTAAAAGCAAACTCACTCTAGGCGTTACGGTGGTGGCCCCGAATGCAAGCCCTGGAGGCAGGAAGAACAACAGCCAGTCGTCACGGAGAGCCAACTTGGTATGACACACACATCCACGCTGATGAAAAAGCTGATGTCTTAAGGTTGTTTATCTTACCAAAATGCGGTGCACAGAAATCCAAAAGTGTCTTTGTAATTTTTTTTTTTCTCTACAGTAACTACAGACTGCAGTGCTTTTAAATAACCAACCATTTCTCCCGAGTGCTTCAAGAGGCATAACTGGGAGCAGAATTAGCCAAAAAAGTATCTTCTCAGAATCAAATGCTCCTGCACAGCTTTTGCTGTCATCCAAAGTAAAACCATTTCCATGACAAAAGCTAGCTGAAGTTCTGTCTGAATTTTTACAAGCAAAAAAACCAAGAATCTGAGCTGCACCTTCCATGTGCTCTGCCAGGGCTCCTGGCTACGCCGCCTGAGCGCGTCTCCTCTGCCAGGAAGCGCTACGTCCGTTTTCAAAACACCCTCTCTAAACAGTTCACTTGTAGGCCCCACAAAGCCAGAAGTGATTAACAGAGAAGAAGGAATCATGGCTGGGACTTTCAAAATTTCCAAAAGTCTAAGCCGCACATGAATGAACACGAAAAGAAGAATTCGTTCTTCTCTTCTCCTTCCCTTTTAGGAACACGAGAAACAAGGAAAATTCAGGAAGTCACTGCTGATTAATTTAAAAAACATCCACCATTAGTAAATCTCAACTTGCACCGTCTGCCTCACAAATATCATAAAATGTTTCAGCTTTATCTTCAGAGGATGGCTGCTCTTTATAGCTCATTGACTACACAAACCAACAAAAGCAAGCCAACATTTAGTCAAGAGTCAAAAGCTGCATTTGACTTGGGCCTTTTGAGTTCCGCAGAACAAATTGCCTGATTCAGGTGAACAGAACTGAGTCAAACCTCTTCTCCCATTAACACAAGTGAAGAGTCACTGTGTGAAAAGCTGTCCTAGACTGACTAACCTCAGAGAAGATCAGCACTAGCTGATACAGAAAAAGGGGAAACAGTTGAGAGAGATATATATGGAAAAAACCCTCATACGCAAGTAACTTCAGAATATTTTGTAATTTGTTTGCTTTGGTATAGTTTTGTATTTACTCCAGAGTACAGACTAGTCCAGGAGAACAGGCTCTGGAGAATCACGTAATCAAGCTTACTACTATGTGAGTGGAAGAAATTATGTCAGAAAAAGTAACAAGAAAGGCCTCTCCATAAATTTAGAACAGCCGCCCTTATTTAAAGCACGGATTAAAGTCGGGTATAATATTAGTCTAACTCATGTTTTCCTACCCTCTGACTTCAAATTAATGAATAATTCTTATTCTGTAGCATAACTGTATTGAAGATGACATATATTTCAGTGACATATATGGCACATATCCTTTAGTGAAGGAGGTTATCTTTTTGCCCATGATGGCAAAAGAGGTCTTTAATTCCTTTTCAAAGTGCAATTTAAAATTTTAATTTCTCAACAGTCCAGATGATGCAGTCTACTGCATTTCAGAACCATGTTTTCCCAGTCTCATTAGCTATTAATTATCACTATGCATATAAGGTCACAACCAGCTCAGCTGGCTTGATCCTCTGCTGCGTTACGCTGATATTTGTCAGGAGTGAGCCAACTCCATAATCCTAATGGGACCGAAAGTATAAAATTCATGTGAGATCAGCCTAGTCTACCAAGCCTTTTCTAGAGCTGTCAAGCATTATAACACCAGGCCCTGAGCAACACAAAATCCTGACAGGCTTTGGGCCAGCCAGAGTTTTTCTTTCTCTTCTCATTCTCTTTCCTTTTTTAGGGGTTGAGGTGGGTTTTTTGGTTTGGTTTTAGGTTGCTGTTTTGTTGTTGTTGTTCTTTTGTTTTTTGTTCTCATCAGGGTATTTTAGAGCCATACGGCATCCATCTAAAATGAGTACAGAGTCAGGAGGGCCAGGATTGCTTTCAGATAAGGACCTGAAGGCACTTCCATAGCAGACTGCTTATGTTTTGTCTATATAACCTTTATTTTAAAAACCCGCAGAGTTTCAATATGAAACCTTTAAAGGTTTAGCTAGCTTACCAAGAAAAAACAGCACTATTTCTCAGCAGTTTTGAGATGGATCCCAGTTAGGGGATTTATCCAAATTGGATACAGGCTGAATGTTGACTGAACAGTTTTATGAACTCCCAGGATGCTGGGCTGAAGAGCAGGAGGGAAAAAAAAAAAAAAAGAAAAAAAAAAAAAAAGATTCCAGCAAGTTTGCCATAGTTTTAAAAAACACAAAAAAAGGGAACAACATGCACAAAGACAGCTGCGGGGAGGTCCTGTCCGAGGGAAATCGGTGCGGGGGTGAAAAGAGGGGGGGGAAAAAAAAAAAAAAGAAAAAAAAAAAAAGAGATTCCAGCAAGTTTGCCATAGTTTCAAGATACACTAATGAAATTTTAGTCACCAGTACCATAAAACAGTAATCGACTCTTACCATAGACAGATTACAAAATAAATAGAAGCTATTTAAACTCCAAGGTTATCACGCTAAGTAAGCACAACTGTGCCTTTTGCCTTCAAGAAACCCATCTAATGGACACAGCTTAATTCAAGAAGCAGTTTTATTTGCCTTCAAGAAACCCACCTAATGGACACAGCTTAATTCAAGAAGCAGTTTTATTTTTAAATATTCAACACTAATGAACAGCATGTTAAATTTAAAACATCAGAATACTTAGTTCTTTATTCACTCACTTTAAGAATTCAGTGTGGAGTAGTAAATATGCCTTTTTATACAGTTATGAAAAATTTAAAAAAAAAATCACACTTTAGCAGTTTATAATAAAAAACTATGCTGCCTCCTTAAATAAATTGCTGTGGCATAACTGTTCAGTTCTATCATTAATTCAAAGTTACAGTTTCCTAGTGCTATTGACTTTTCTTGTGATGTAGCTCCTTTAGCACATAATTGTCTGCAATTAACCTTTTTTAAACAAATGTTAACATCAGAGACATGAACATTTAAAGGCAGTATCTGCGGTACCCTTTGCTTCCTTCAGTTACAGCACAGAAAACAATCCCACGCAGACAAGCTGTACATGTCCCAGCTGTATCATTCGAGGGCACAGAGTGGGTTCCCTAAGCTTTTTTTTTCACTACTAAAAATAAATTTCAAAGCCGGTGCCTTTTACCCCAGACTAACAGGCACACACAAGCTACTTCCCAGTAGAAAAAATACAGCGA